GAGAGAGAGAGAGAGAGAGAGAGAGAGAGAGAGAGAGAGAGAGAGAGAGAGAGAGTTTCCTCATACATACATGTACATTCACATTTGAGTCCTTCAAAGCAACATGATACAAATACATGTACGTTTTTTAGAATATAATAAATATAACATATATTTGGTATTAATGTAAATCACGCTACTATTAAAAAACTCTGAAAAATTTTGATGTAACATTATAACGACATGATTTTTAAAAAAAGATGTTTATAATTAATATATCCAAGCAGAATAACAAGTCAAAATAATGTCAAAATGACATTAAAATAAATCAGAAATGATTAAAAAAATGACTTTTAATGATCATTTTGAAGTCATTTTGATATAATTTTATCATAATAACTTTTATTGTTTTACTTGAGTAAAATTTATTGCATCATAATTATTTTTTCATTGACTATTATAATAGAATTTACATTAATCATAAATATTTTTTATACTTTTTACCATAAACAATTTAACAGAACAATTTTTTTAAAGATTACAAGTTCTAATAACATGAATTAATTGATTCTGATTGCATTAGAAATTTCCCTCATGTCACATATCGTACATAGAAAAAGGTATCTAGAGACACAGTAGTGTCTCAGCGCTACGACACTAAGACATTGTATTTACATCAATATAAGTGAAAATAATTTTGTTAATTCAATAACAATAATAATAAAACATGTAGTATTTTACAAGAATATGATGTATGTTTTTTATTAAAACTATTATTGAAAATTTACAAGATTATTCAATTATATTATATTATTAGCTAACGCTGTTAATAAATTTTTTTCTCATGTGATTATAATAATATGCTAAATACACTAAAATAATTCTTTTTTGTAACTTTAATCAAAAATTTCTCTTTCACTTGTAAAATGACACTGTAGCAAACGGAATTATATTCAGCGTCTAAAAGATTATGGAAAATATTATCTTCTTATGCTTAAAGACTTGAACAAAAATTATTAGGTGAGGAAAAAAGTTCGTGACATTTTTTTAATGCTATCTAATGGGGAAAAACGCCACGAACTTTTTCCCATACCTAATATTTTTTGTTTAATAGTGTTATACAAATATTACTACACTGTACTATTGCTTTTAAAACTGATTGTGAGTTTTTTCAATTCTGGAGTATTGAAGATAAATGAAATAAAAATACGTAAAACAAAAAAATTAATTAATGAAGTTATACTAATATAAAAATTTAATACAACTAAATTATAACATAATATTTTTATGACAATCTATTTCTTCTATTTTTCTAAAAATATGCATTCATTGAAATATAATATTTATTGAAGTTATTTAATATGATCTTTTTCATATGCAAGTTATATTAAAAATAAAAAATTCTAGCATTGTGTAATTGATTTTATGTGTAATTGATTTTTCATCCACTATATCAATATGATTTAAAAAATTGATTGTAGCAAAATTAAAAAATGCTACGGAAGATTGAAAACTATTTCCATGAAAGATAAAAAATATTTAGTAGTATCGGTATATATACTGAATTTTTGATATAAAATTGCATATATAGTCGTAAGTCTCTAATTGAAATAGCCAACGCAACGTATTACTCATCTATCCGCGAACTATCGTCAATGTCGGAGGCGTAGAACTTCCTAAGGGGAACGCCTATCTTTGTCTTGACGTATACGCATTTGTTCACTTGACTGATTGTGAGGACGCAAATGGCCACGTACGTCTGTGCTTACGAAGCAGAATGAAGCATCTAATCGATTAAGTCAGTTACCGAATAGAGTGCAATCGCAAATTTGCGCTCGCGAGTGTACAAACGCAAATTACGAATTCTGTTACTATAGGATTGCAACATGATTAAGTAAGTATCGTGTAAACTTGCAAAAAATAATCGATAATTGAATTCAGCTTATGTTGGTAAGTAACATTTGCAAATCGAGCATTTTTTAATGAATTGTAGTAGATACAAAATTATTCAATAAAATTTAAGAATACTGATGTTACAAGGTTAATGATGTAACCTGCAGTTGTAATACTCTGTATCAATAGAATTTTAAAAAGTAAATCGAATGATCATGTCATTGAATATCTCAGATATGTTCAATATGTAGTGTTACCAGAATTAACATTTATGTACGTATGTGTAATGTGAGATATGTAATACGATGAGATACACAGGTGCACGAGAATATGTGTTTGTTATGAAACATATGTTTCGAAAGTCATCATTATATTGGGTTTTCCGGAAAGTTCGTATCAATATTGAAGGAAAATTGAAACGCAGAAAATTTTAATTTAATAAATGTATACTAAAATTTAAATTTTAGTCGGCACGAACTTTCCGGACAACCCAATATATTATCGTTGCGATTATAGTTACAATTACGAATGTTATCGTTGATTTCGACACTAGATTTCGCTTTCGCACATAAAATTATTTGCAGTGTTAATTTTGCGAGGTCACGTAATAAATATTTTTTACGCGTGATAATGCAAAAGTCTGAGATGCTATAATTATTTTTGTATTATTTCTAAGTAAAATTAATTTTAAAATAAATTTAATGGAAAAGCTGAATGTAATCTCTTTTAAATTCCTTTTAGATATGTTAGTTACGAAAAAATTATATGACACGAAATTTGCATTAAATAATCCCTTTCGATATTTTTGCTAAGAAAAAACTTTTGCTACTTGAGATAATCATCTTGGAATACTTTATTTCAAATCATTATTTTTCCGATCAATTATTTAATGGAAATGAAACGTGAATAAATTTTTCAATATGTTTTGGCGGTGTTTCTTTGTTATCGAGCTTTGTCATAATTTGTTTCACCAATTTTTGTTCGGACGTAGCCGAGAATTATTGGTAACATAAGTGTTTTCTATCTAATGTGCCGATGTGTGTACGCTGTGTAAAGCGATTTATTTTTTATGCTTTGTAGTCTATGTCGTAAGAGATATATATATCAGCAAATGTAGTAGTATACGAATACGAGACGTGGATGTTTCGCAATGTTTCAATATGAATAATGTTCCACTTGATATAATTTTCTTGCTATTTACATAATATTATTTAATAATCTTTTAGATAAAACATTAATTAAATATTAAGTATTTTTATAATAAATCAATTAAAACGTATATGTGTTAGGCGAGGAATTTTGCTCAAGATATCAACTGTCGGTGCGTTTCATTACATTTCTTTATTACGATCAGTTTACCTACAATTAGGGAATGGAAGTAACGCGTTATTTGTAATGTTACCGTTAGAAGTTACTTTTTTTACTAACGAACTTATTTTACTAACGTTATATCTTTCTTTTTTAGTAACTGTAATGATAACGTTACATTTTTTTCATAATGGTAATGATTTTTATGATTTTTTTATCGTTACTTTTTTTACCTTAATTTTGAATAGAATAAAATTACTACAATCAGGCATTAATTTTGGATCGCTTTTTATATTTATATAATTTACATAATTATATTTTTTATTAAATTTTATTAAAACATATCACAAGATTCTTTAGCATTTTTATTTCTTTCAAATGTCAATTGAATTTAATTTATTAGGAATGGCGCTACACATTTTTATTGATGTCGTTAATTAATTAAATGTGCAAGGTTAATTAACGTATGTATCTTTAAAAATTCATTCAAAGTGTAATATCATAAAGCCTTATGGCTTTTATAATAGATAGTAAATAGCATTAGATTTCATGAAAAAAGTCAACGTTACGCTCAGATTAAATGTATCCACGGGTGTTGTTTAACTAAGTTATGACATTACTTTTATTGCACAAATTTATTATAAAAATGTTTAAAAACTGATCAAATTTTGCAAATGATGCCATCTCGAAAAGATTTATTTGTTTTAAAGTAGAAAGTATAAAGTTATAAGTAGTAAGTATAAATAAATAGTTAAAGTATAAAGTTATAAAAGTAGAACACGAAATAAGTGTCATTATTCATAATTAAACTGTTTTTTTAATAAACTTGAATGTGTTAAAATTGCATCATTATCCACATTAGATTCTAGAACTAGATATCATCAATTATAATTTTGTTATGTATATACTACGATATGCAAATTATTTTATCTTTATGGAATATAGTAACGCCACCAAAAAGAATAAAAATCATTTGATGAATTTTGATTCGCAATTAATACGGAATCCAATTGTAGATAATTATCATTACTTTATTTAATTCAAATTGAAACATATAAAATGAAATAAATTCATATCATTCTATAATCTTTATGATGAATCTTAATCATGCCCATTAAATATTTTAATATTTATTAATTGTTTAATATTGTTTTGGAATAAAAATATGAATTTTTTTAAAGAGTGACTAGGTTTTATCTTATTTAATTTAGATTTTTACTTAGTTTAACATAATTTTATATATTGAATGTTTGTAACATAATTTTTTATAGAGGAGCCATAGGATTTGCGGATTATCATCGTCCATTGCTAATGCCAACATTTCATAAACCTTGCCGCTCACTTCATCAGGGCGAGGAGAGCATAGATACTTTCTATATATTCGATTTTTTCCACAGTATTCATAATCCATTTTTACATCAAGATCATTTTAAATACTATCTTAATCTCTACAGCACGAAATATTGCAAGAATATTGCAGCAATATTATACATTTTGAAAAACTACAATATTTCATAAAACATTGCTATAATATTGTAGCAATATTCCTATTCTGAAAAAATTAAATGTTGTTACAATATTTAGAAAAATATTGCATACATATTGTTATAAGATTATGTAATATTTCAATAATTAAAATTGAAAGTAATTATTAAAATGGAATTTCAATAATTATTCCAGTTTTATTAATTATATTAATTATATTATTATTGTCTAGCATTATATCAGCAAAATACATACAATAAAGTTATGATAAAAAAATATTCGGGAACCTAGAAAGCACATCCAAAAAAAGTAGAGAATTTCCAGGAGATTCGCTAACTCGATTTGCGTACTCCTTTAAAATAAGACTCTTGGAGTATTTCCTTGGAGAAGCGTATCTCTCTTGTGACAGAGCTGCGCACTTATTTGAATTGAATTGTAATATTGCAACAATATATCGCAATATTTTTTACAAAATATTAAAATTACAATATTGCTGCAATATTTCGTGTTGTAGAGGAATGTGCTAATGTGATTATTTTATGGTGAGCAATGGAGTGATTTAAAATTATGTTCTACCACTCATTGAGCGCTACATAATTTTACGATATTAGAGAAATAATAAACAATAATAAATAAGAAAGATGATATTAAAAATTATCTATAGTTGACAAAGTTATTCTACGAATTATAATAAATAAACATATTAATAATAGATTAATTCTTTTTTTGCTCAATGAGCGCTCAGTGAATGGTTATCATTCTGAATGTATCCAATCAACATAACAACAAATTTTACGAATACTTTAACTTTGACAAAAATAATGCCATGTACTACAAAATTTATTATGAAAAATA